AAATTCTGCAACAAAAACAACCATTCACCTTGGTAAGAAAAACAACCATTCACCGTCCTTCCTTCCATTTTTCCTCTCTCATTCAAACGGCGACAATTTCTTTCTCCCTCCATTTTATCACTGAAAAGGAAAAGTATTTCATGGACTCTTTTTTTTTTCCTACTAAAAATAAGTATCCTCTTATTGAAAGCAATCTTGTCAAGACATTATCGAACACTGAATGTTGACACTTGTCCCAATGAAAGTAGGAATCTTGCTTTGTTATATGGGAGGAACTAACTTTTTAATAAACACAGTCCTTGTTGGTGTTTCATGAACTATCTTTTTTAAAAAATATATATATACACACTCACAAATCTCAAGTACGATATTTAAATAGAAAGAGGTTCCAAAAAAATCACATTTACATGTTAAACTTGCATAAGTCAAATTTAACAATTCATGTTGATAAACTAAACTGAATTTTTACAAGTTGAGTTGTATTATTTACGACTCAAAAAAGAATGAGACTTTTTTTAAAATTATGTTTGGTTAATATACATAAAAAAATAAAATTAAAAAAAAAAAGAAGGAAAAAAAAGACAACTAAAATGGAAATAGTGTCATTTATATGGGTTCAGTTTTGTTCCCAACCTTCCATGTAGTTTTTTTTTTTTGTTGATAATCATTTGATATATATGAAACCTGAACTAAAATTGTTTCAACGAAAAAACAAAGAAAATTTAAGTAGGGAAATGTTTTAAAAAAAAACTGCACTTGGCATGAAGAAAATGGAGGTAAAAGTTTAATGAGTTTGATTTAAAAATTAAAAAATAGAATTATAAATTTTAATAAAAATGACTTAAGATAAAAAAAAGTAATAAAACTTAATTAAAAGCTTTTAATCTTTTTTTCCTTCAAATTTTTAAATCAAAATCATGAAAATTTTCCTCCCTTACAAATCAAGCGCCAGGGTAACACGGAAGATATATGCAGCCACAGGTTACTTTAGGAAAGTGGGTAGATGATTGAGTATACCACAAGGCCTCCTCCAACCTCAGCTCCTAACCTTCCTTTTCCGCATTATATATACCCCCACCCTTCCCCCTCTCCTCTTCAATAATTCATCTCTTCCTCTATCTCTCACTTCCAAACCCTCTCTCTCTCTCTTCAATAATACAGAGAAATGGAAAACAATCTGCCAGTGATATCAAAGAAGGTGGGCAGCATAATACATGTCCTCTTCTTCATGCTCCGAAAAGGCTTCACCAAACCAAAACTCTTGATGAACCTCAACCTCGTCCTCAAACGTCCCCGCAAGCTCGCCGGAAAAGCCATCGCCAATCTCATCTCTCACCACCACCACCACCACCATGGCGCCGCCGCCGCCTCCCACGACGCCCAGTTGCAGCTCTCCACCCCCCGCGGTGATGAGTACGAGTTCAGCTGCAGCAACACTCCCAACTACAGCTTCTTCTCCAAACGTGATCCATGTCAGTTCTTCGCGTGTGCTCACGCGCCACTCACGCTGGATGACGACACGGCGGCGGTTAATGATGCTCTTAAGGTGGCGTTGAGATGGTCGGTGACAAAAAAGGGAAGGATGTGGTGGTGGAGGCGTCGCCAGCACTTCATTGGTCTGGGCGGACCCGGGCGGTGAGAAAGGTGAGGATCACGGACTCTCCGTTCCCGGTGACGGACGGCAACGATGACGGGAACCACCAGGTTGATGAGGCGGCGGAGGTGTTCATAAATATGTTCTACAAGGAGCTGAGGACACAGGGTTGAGCAATTTTGGACACGCTGCTTTGTTAAATCTTAGTAAACTATGAGAAATTAATTAATACTAAAATATGAAGCTTATTTGGACACGTTAGATGATAATTATCCCAGCTCAGTTTTCACCTTATGTACGTTGGGATTTTGATTTCAAGTTATTACTATTTCTGAAATATATATATATATGTATTTGTACTTTTAATTATTTTTCAGTCAACAAATAAAAAAAATTAAATGCGTGCTTTGATACACTGTCGGCATCTCTCTGAACTTATTAGCTTATTGAAGAATCGTCTGCGTTCACAAAATCGTTCTTCTTCGCCCTTCATCCGTTTGGTCATGATAAATTATTAGGAACTTTTGGGTTCTTTAAGAATCACAGCCATCGTACCTTAAAGAAGACAACAAAATATATTAATTCCGCCATTGCCGATTTCATTGCCTTTTGAATAACCACTTCGTAGCTCCGTATGCTTTTATTTAGTCTTCTAAGTTTAGAATACAAAACACAATTTGGCAAGTACATTTGCTAAAGTACTAGAGAAAGAGAACAATCTCACTTTTCTAATTTCTAGCCGTTATATCTAAACTAAAAAACTACTTAGCCCCCAACAAAATAAATTATCTAATTATAAATTAAACAGACCATGCCTTCTATTATTGTCAGTGATCGATCACACACTTTGATCTCTAATTAAGGTTCACTCTGTAATTAACATAATTAACTACCTTTAAATTTTATATACTAGACAATATATTAATTATGATTCAAATACAAATATAGCTAGATTTCCAAAGTTACGAGTATTTAGTATCCGTTGTTCTGCATTGAAAAAAGCTTACAAATAACCAGTGAGGATTAGGTTTAGTAGAAATGGCTAGTTCCTCATAACATGATAAATAAATGTTTGAATTGAGTTACCCCATTTAGTGCCCGACAGCATCTCGAATAAGATGATACTTATACAGAACCAAAAAAAAAAACAAAGCTTAATTACAAATATGTCCGAATAAAGCTATGTGTTTGGTATGCAAGAAATTTTTTTTCCAGCTACCATTACTATGGACCACATGCTGACCATTCCACGGTTAGGTCAATGACACCATACATTAAGGAATAACATTCGAGAAGTCATATTTGCCCCTTATTTTCTTATAAAAAAGTTATACTCGGATAATTTGCTCAATCTAAACTTCAATTTCTTCAATTTCTTCATTTTCATTATAGTTCTACTCTATCAAAGAATGCATTTCAAAATTACTCATATAATAGCATGACATGAAATTATAAGTAATATTATTCCATTCTATTATTTTATATAACTTTTGTCACACAAAAAAAAAACATTTTGCAGCAATTCAAAATAACCGCCACTAATTGATTCATTTGTAGTGATTTTGTAATAACCGTTACTAGCTTAACTCTTGAAGACTAGATGAATGTGTAGTGTGTTCGTGTGAAGTGATTATTCTAAGTATGATTTACATATGTGGTTTTCATAAGTCATACGATAAATGTGCTAAATTAATAGAGTATATGAGACGTATGTTCTGAATATTCGAATGGGGGAAATTAAAACTTATATCAAAGATACTTGCTAGGCTTTGGCACATAATCAAACACGCACGGTTCGTTGGGGGGTTTTGAAAATAAAAATGAAACCAACGTTTGAATTATAATTGGACCCAACCTTTGCTTGTGGGCCTAATAGGAGAAAGCTTAGCATCAAAGAAAACGAGCTTTTTTTTCTACGTAATATCTTTTCTAAAAAGTCATCTTCTTCGCTCCTTCATTCATTAGCCATATGATGCTTTTAGCCTTTTAGAACCAGTCTTGCGAACGTCATATTAATTTAACAATTTATTCTATTGGTGGCTAGAGATTGAAACTCTTTTAGCTATCACTCCGAGTATTATCAAATCATTTTGAACTTGATACCGCTTATTAGAGACCGAAACCCTTTTGATGCAACATAAAAGAGTTAATTAATATTGTATAATTTTTTTTAAAAAAAATTATACGCTGTTTGGCTTTGTAAGTTACTATTATTGTTGGAAAATGTATAATTTTGCAATTTCTTTGAAGAAAATATCTTGCAGCCAGCTTGTCCTTTTCACTTTCCTTAAGCATGCGCAGCTCGTGGACATTATATGTGTATGATGGAAGGTGCTCAAAATATCTTGCCTAATTGTGATTTTATGTCGATGAGTTTTATTTTTTTTATTCAAAATCATGTATTATATATATGTATGTAGTTTAAGTTTTATCTTTTTCGTCAAACATTTTTTTTAAAAAAAAGTGTAACTTGTCATTAAAACTCCAATAGAAGCAAAATAAACTTCCATGGAACGATTGATCAAATGCAAAATATAATACAAGTTCACAAGCCTTATCCTACTAAGTGGAAACCGTCATTTGGATCACCTAGTGTTATTATACTTTATCAACCCCTAAATTATATATATATTATTAAGGGTTAATATAACTTTAGTTCATGAAATTTGACTTTTTTTTTTAAATTTTAGTCCTTAAAATTTTGAAACCAATGTTTTGAAACCAATGGTTTTGATCTATAAAATTTGATTTTATTTTGGTTTTAGTCCCTGGAATTAAAAAAAAAATGGTTTTGATGGTTCTTGACATTTAACCTTATTTTAATTTTGATCCTTGCTTCAAAAACCAAAAATCTTAGGTCGAACTAAAATAAAGTCCAATTTTAGGAATTAAAATCACTAGTTTAAAATTTCAATGACCAAAAACAAAATAAGATCAAATTTCAAAGATCAAAACCACTTATTTTAAATTTCAGAGACTAAAAATCATATCAACCTATTATTAACTAAAAAATCTCATTCAATAACTATTTGATTCTTCTAACTAGGGATCAACGAATAAATGCAAGTTGATTGCAAGAATTGAATTATATATATTGACTATTTGCTTCCCTCCTTTTTTCCCTTTTATATATAACAGAGATTTATATTGTGGAAGCCATAATTCAGATACAAAGTATATAAGCGAAAAATTAGGGGAAATGGCTATATTAAAAGTGTGTGCTTTGATTTTCGTCATGTGGAATTTTGCAGTTAGGGTCAACTCACAACTTTATATGGTGTTTTTTCTTCATGTTCATTAATTAATTAATTAGTAATTAATTAAGGGTCTGTTCGCCAGTTAAGCCAATTACTAGTCCTACCTAGCTACAAAGTAAAATTTGTGTCTACCTTTTTGAATCCATTGGAATTGTAATCCACGACATTTGTTGGCTGACAGCTATAAACATTTACTATTTGTAATGGCCATCGATTAGTGCAATGCAAACAACCCACCCAAAAATAAAAAATAAAACAACAAACAGCACACTTAACTGCTAAGGGATGAGGAAAATTTTATTTTCACGTCAAATATTTTTTGCGTATTACTTATATCTATATATATATTGCAGAATAAAAATCATGATGTGTATAATTGATATTTACTATCTTCAAATGGAAGTTTTCTTCCCGTGCATTTGTGTGAAGGCTTTTCTAGCAATAGATATGAAATATTTCTTTAGTTCTTTTAAATTTTTTTATTGTTGAGAGTTAAAGTGTTCACGGGAGAAAAAGTTTTACGTTATATAAAATTGATCAATTAAAGAAGAGATATAGAAATAGAAATTAAGATACATAAACTCAATGTTTTGAATTTTTTTTTGGTTAAATAAACTCAATGTTTTGATTTTGTTTTTTGTTAAGATGTATACGAAAGGGAAAAATTAAGAAATTTTTTTATCAAAAAATAATGTCACACTTATATATATATCTTTGTGTGTGTGTATCCATAGAAGAAAAGACTTGGAAGAATCTCTCAAACTATAATAAGTGGTATTATAACCTGATTATGGTAAAGATTTATTAGGATTATAGTTACATTTTGATGATCTGGCATTTTTAATTACTTTTAAACAGCTGTATTAAACCAAAAGTAAAACGTGGCAAAAAAAAAAAAAAGCAAAGCAACTCCATTTGTTTCCCGAGACAAAAAAGTAAGAGAACATGTGAAAGTGTTTAATCTTCTTTTTTTTTGCTGTAATAAGAAAAATAAAATGTCTTTTAAAAGTTTATGAATTACTGTTGCTGTCCTCCACATTATGGCAAAGTCCACAACAGAGCATACGTGCAATTAATTTTTCCCTTTTAGGATCGACTTTTGTAACAGGGTGAAGAAAATATCTTGGAGCCAGGCTGTGTTTTTACTTAAAACGTGCGCAGACTTATTCAAACCAGGGGCTCAAAATATCTCATTTTTTAAGAAGCAATAATATTCCGTGTGTACGTATTATGTAAAGCTTTTACTCTCTTTTTCCCAACTCGGTTAATTTGTAACCGTATCTTAATGTTTAAGAAATTTTAATTTTCATTCGTGACATGAAAATCGTGATATACTGTTCTTATGTTGTGCTTAATTGATGTTTTTTTAAAAATTATTTTCAAAAGCTTGTGTGTTGGAGTTTTGTTAGTTATATTATACTATTTCCAGTCCTAAATATAAGGGCTAATTGAAGGTCCTAAATATAAAATTACCAATTCATTTTGTCTCTTAAATTTATAATGCGTTCTTAAAAATGTATCTATTAATTATAAAGTATTTCCATCCAAGTGTAGTTCTAATATATATGATTAAATAAGCATAATTTAGAAAAATCAAGACAAATTTATTACAAATAAATATATTTCTTTAATTTCTCAAAACTAGTTATCTGATTCTTATATTAAGGATTGGAGATAGTATATATAAGTTTTGATAAAATTTCATGCGTAATTAATTTCTATAAATCTCATAAAATATGATTTTTTTTTAATTTTTGTTATTATTGAGAATGGGTTAATTGATATGACAAAAAACCTACATTAGATGAAGCTGGGTAAAAAAAAGTGTATATAATTATGTGTAGGACATGTAGTACATATTTAAGATTTATAGATAGTCTATATTGAGCTTATATATACATATATATATTTATCTAAAGTCCAATGTATGATGCCCTAATTATGGAAGAGATTCATTAAGAATAATTGTCACTTTCAAAGGGGTAGGCGATTTTCATGTTTAAAAAGCTGTATTTACCCAAAAGCAAAGGGGTGGGCAAAAATAAATAAATAAATAAAACAGAAGGAAAGCATGCATGTGAATACTTTAATCTTCTTTGTGGT